TTAAAAGTTCAGGTTTAAGTCAGATACTTATTTTCCTGATCAATTTTTTTGGTCTTCTTCTCCTCTTCGTTTGTGTCAAAATCCTTAACAGAAACTAAGAGCTTGTCGAAACACATCTTCCTTCACCTAACAGCTAAGAATAATGATTATCAAAATACATTTGTCATATCCCTTTTTAGTCAACTAATGGATAGATTCTTGCTACAAAACATCCATAAGTATTAAAGCATATAAATATGATGTATTTTTAAGATTTCTGTCACTTAACGACCTCTTAACACTGAGATAGGTTTTCAAGGATATTTGTTTTTCTCCATATTTATTTCTGTTCTTCAACTGTCAAAAATAGTCTGAAACATGAAGTATAGACATCCATATCATATTTTTATCATATATATTTTATATTAAAATCCTGGAACTGCTAACAGATTGTTTAATAGTTTTCCGTCACCAAACGAGTCACAAACCTCTAAACCAGCTGATCCTTGTTGCATAATGGGTGGAAAGTTGTGGAACCATTGTCACTGTCACCTGCTGCGCTGTGGTGTGAGTTGAAAAATCGGTTGACAAAGCTCCCCGTTGCAAAACAGGCCCCGGTCAGGTTTGACTGTCGTGGCGCAAGGCCTATCGCGCCCATAGGTGTCGCTATTTTTATCGCTGTCGTTCTTTCAAAATGAGTTTTTAAATGGGAAAGATTTTGTGTTTCATAATAAATTACCGGGTGATTCCGGGTGGGGTTTTTTTGAATGCGGGAGTTAGATTTTGGAGGCTTGTGTTGATAAATCGATAATCGGCAAACGCTTGTATATGTGATAATGCATGGATATGTTATGGATGGTAATTTGGAGTGAAGCTCAAGTCCATATATCTAGTGAAGAAGCAAAGGACTCCATGGCGTTGCGTTTCCAAATAAAATACAAATAAAATAAAATGTTTTTGCCCATAAATGTACCTCAGGTAATTCTATTACTATACTAAAATCATCTCTATAGCACAACATTTTTGTATAGTCTATACGTCCCATCCTTCTGCTATATATTTTTACAACTAAATACCACGATCATTTTTTATAATTAAAACTTATAAACCTGGTATATATTTTAATATAAAATATCCTAGTTACATGTTACCTGCACTGTGAAAAGTTTTGCATCTTTATATAAATTACTAGCTGGCCCGACAGACGTCGTCCTGTCCTAATGTGGTTTTATGTCAATGCTCGTTCATTTTCAAGAAGAGCTCGTTTGCATGGCTCAATCACGTTCTGGTTGAAGTTCGTTCGCTACGCTCACTCACCTTTAGGTTGGAGAAGTTTTGCATCTTTATATAAATTATTATGAAATCTGAAGTATTTTGGTGCTCCGCCACAGTAAATTATACATTGGTTTACCTTAATAATACATACAATTCATGTTCGTTTTAGTTTATGATTCCATAAAAATTTTATTTTTTTGAACCATCGTTTAAAGGTCACATTCGATTTAGAAAAAAGTTAAAATACAGCTGCAGTGCTTATCAGCAATGCAGGCTTGTTTTGATTTAAAAGGTTATCTGTCAAATGTTTTGTTAAAACTCGTCTTACGACAACATGCGTCAATTCGCTAAAAACATTGATTAATGTTCAAGATTTTTATCAACATCCATTAAATTTCTCAAACAAAAGCGGTTCAAAGCTTCTGCGTACACCCGTGACCTGTCGGTTCCCAGGGAACCGGAGAACCGGTCAACTTTTCTATCAAAATAGTTGCTACAACGTCTAAACGATACACCCGCTTGTTTGATGACTCCGCGTCAATTATTTCGCCAACAAATGAGCCGCTTGACAAGTTTGATTTGCATAAAACAAAATGCCGAATTATGATAATGCTCAGTCCGTAAGCCAGTGTCCATTAGCAGGTGGTAGGTGGTGTGGCGGGAAGATAGGAGTTAGTTTGACAGGCCGCCACCCACCGCGCCACAGTGCTAATTGAGGACCTACTCACACTCGGCCAGTGCCACTCTAATGGAATATGCCCGTAATTAAAACTAAACACTACCTGGCCAGATTTACGTGTCACATAAGAAGCCTGTTGTTTGCCGCCGTGCCGACCAAATTGACCGGTTTCCAAGAAATTCCCACTTTTTGGGAATTCAAATGGGAATGGGACTGTCGTAAAGATATCCTTTAACCCCTTAAAATGCACAACTATGTTACTGTATATACAATTTTAAATATAATTACATACGAAGGAGCATAAATTGCTTAAACTACTTTATTTATAATTCTTATGAACAGGTTCTTATCTAGGAATGCAATACAAATAACCGCCTCGAGATAAGACTTACCCGCATGTATAGTTCCGTTCAATATTTTACTGCATCTTAAGGCGATACGTAACGGGATAATTGGAACTGGTTCTAGATCAGTAATAATTCTAATTAACTCTTGTGAATCTTCGCGTTTCACCACACGACACTAACATCTGCTGTGGAAACCGGAGGAATTCAGCAAATCAAATAATTACAGAGGAAGATACAACTCTGGGCCGGGAGCGGTTAACTGGCCCCAGCTGTCGTGTATCTGAGGGTGTGAAATTCATTTGGTCCGCTCAAACCAGAGGCGTGGAGATTAACACTGGGCTTAATTACACTCATGACATGCTAAATATGACGGCAGTTTGTTTCTGGCGAACGTGATAGTATTTGATTGCACTGTTGGAAAAGATGGAATTATATTGACGATTTCTTTGAAAAAATGATGTTAAGCAAGTGGTGGATTAAAAAAAGTATTAGTACAAGCTTATGGTAATGGATGAATTGCACTTAGCAACTAGTTACCGCTTAGAAGTGGAGAAAAATTCATACTCCATCGACAAGTTACCACTAGGAGTTTTCTGCTAAACATCGTTCGTCGAGGAGCGTAGAAACTAGTTTCAAAATCAGATATTTAAAAAATTTTCAATTATCAAATGGCTTTGATACCATACCGGTAATCAAGTATTACAAGTTACATAGAGATGATGATTCAAAATAAGTTGTGTTCGTTGTACTTTACGCAATTTTATGGACACTATTTGTTATACAAATCAAAATTACATTATCTTTGGCTGAAGCAATATATATCAAAGAATCCTCCTTATAATTTCGTAGTATTATTAAAACCTCATCTAAAGTAGTCTCCGAATATTAGGATTAGAGTAAACAACAGCATTAGCTCGTACAGATTATTCCTAGTATCCCCACCAATTAAATCCTTGTTAGCTGCTGAGGATCAAGATCTGAGTAGGACGACGTGTAAAGTCGCCTCTTTTCCAATTAACGAGTCGCATTTCATCTTCCAGGTAGGATTAAACACAGCTTAATCCAACGCAAACCTCTTACAATACGGTAACAAGATGATTCCAATAGGTTCGCGACCAGTAGGAAGAAAGCTGGTAAAGCAGCTTAAAGCACAAACAAGCATCAAACCTCAGTTGCCATGACAACGAACACGCGGACGGTTGAAGATAAACACATCTCTTGAAGAAAATGGAGCGTCTTCCACGGCTGCTTGGTAGAACTGAATATGATCCAAAATAAATCACACCCCATCATAATCATCAAACACTTCAGTTGTTTAATTACTGTATACGAAAATTGTAGTTTTTGTTATTTAAATGCTTTAACTCATACCTAATCTCAATTCTAGTACATTGGGTTGAAATTAAATTCCAACAGGTTGATAAAGACAATACACGATTAGGATGTGTACCTACACTATGACCAACTCTTAAAAAATCGTTGGTGTAGGTCAATAGAAAAAAGATAAAAACATGTAAGCTAAATAAATCAATGAATGGTCACAATTTATTGTTTTGTCAGGCTTTTGAATACGATATTTTTAGGAAAATACACAAAAACACCGGTAACGGTTAGTATTATACCGCCGAGTAACTACTGTAATTGAGTCTCCGATAGCGTAATTCCTTTTTGCTCTGTAGTAGAACCATCACATTAAAGAGAAACGCGGGAGTGTCTGGGGTAACCTACATTATCTATCTGTATTTTCCTTGTCAGCTCTACCATTTATTGCAAATCTTACGTCTAAGCCACATTGAAATCATGCATCATGCATTGAGCGAACAGTTACCGACTCATTTAGTACATTTAGTAGCTCGTTCTCTTGTAAATCACCGCCACTCCTCTGCAGGTTTGCGGATAACGTACCTGAGGGTACGACCGGGTTTATGGGGTTCATGCCCTGAACACTGGACGTGACTCTTCATAGAAGTATCACTAAGTAAGAAGCTCAACAAAGCGAGGTCGTAAGCCAAAGTTATTACGTTCCCGTTACTGGAAACTGTGCACAAAAGCAGTTCTTTCTTCACATATTGTTCCTTGTGATAAGTAGTGATGTGAGGTCTATTTGAACTGTTATCATGATAGAGAATATACACACTTCAGGAATAGTGAAAGGACTTTGAATTACTACGGATCATCGCCTGTATATATCTGAATATATTGCATGCATATGTTAAATTATGAGCAGAGAACAAAAATATATTGAACGCCATGCACACATTTTTAAAAGTCAGATACAGTTTCGCAACCATGATAGGCCTAATAAAAGTTGATCTTTGACTCTGTTGCCAGATAAAATGCGATAAAACTGCGTGCGATCTCTAATTGGGCCTCTTAAAGTAACGTTTTCGCTAATTTGTGATAATAACAGAGTTCACTAGTTTAAAAATTGGCTCTGTAAATTTGTCTTTCAAAAGGGAAGAACAACAAGGTAGAAAGTTTCATTATGAGATAGATAGGAAATTAACAAAACAATTTAAATCTGAAGTTTTTTATGCGCCGCATGAAATTAATTTAGTGTGGACGTAGACTATTCTTTTAAAATATGAGGATAAATCAATAATCGGAAAAGTTATAGCTGGTCTATTATTTTGGCTTAAGTTATTGCTGCGTGATATAATTTCCCTCTAATTTTATAGCATGTTATCGCTTTATATTCTAATGAATGCTTTCTATTGCAGGTGAAGATCGTGTGACGTTTGCTCAACAACAACTTCCACCGCAGACATCTTCGCCTCTATCCTAGTGCAGTTCTCGTGGTGTTCCGATGGCAGCGTGTGATGTGGTGCAGAGATGCTGAGGGGAGAGACAGCGGTGCCAGTGGACAGCAGGAGTAGGAGCCGGAGAGGAAGGAAGAGGCAGCGTCAATGCGCTGCGAGCTGCTGATGGCGATGGCAGAGGCCCATGTGCATCCCCACCATGTCAACAACAACAACAATAACCTGCCTTTCATCTCCTTCAAACAACGTAAGAGGAAGAGGATCAACGACGTAGTGGGCAAACTGGCCACCCAGGTGACTGTCAACAACAACAGTCCCCTCCACAACAACAATAACAACAACCCGACAACGGAGATCAAGGTGAAGCAGGAGTGCGTCGAGGCTCCGGCGCTCAAGACGCCCAAACAGATGGCTCCGCAGACCGTGTTCAGGTTCGACGGCCAGACCAGGCTGTCCGAGGGCGAGGACGAGGTAGAGGATGTGTTCAGCCCGGCGTCCTCGGCCAACAGGAGTCCTCACAGTTCCAACACGGACTCACCCAAAATCAGTTTCAGCCCGTTAAGGCTCAAAGACAGTAGTATAGACGAGGAGGCGGAAAGCGGGAGTGCAAGTACCCCTCCGCCTCCGAGAATACAAGTGAAACAGTTTCACGAACTACATACGGACGAGGAGGTGACACATGTCAGTCCTCAGCCGCGGTACCCGGGGTGTTCCTGCGCCCACTGTTCCTCCGGGGTGGGGATGCCTCCCCTACCTCACGATAGGTTTTACTCCGTGTCCCCGGTGTCCCCACTCACCCCCGCGTCCCCGGTGCCCGCCCCCGTGTACAGCTTCGAACGATACCTACATTCTAAGTACCTGCCGGACTATTTTAGACGGAGAAGTCACTCCGATTCGGATCTCCCCCTGTGGTTCGAAGCGAAAACGGAACGTACCGACAAGGACAAAACTCCAGAGAGAGGAACGGTTCTTCGGCAGCACGGAAAGTCCATCCCTCACCCACTGACTCTGACCCACCACGGGCAAGGTTCGTTGGAGTCGGATCACTCCACGCCACAAGACTCCCCGTTGGATCTCTCCATGAAGAGTCTCAGTAGTTCCGCGAGTGCGGACTCTCCTATCAGCGAGCCCAGCTTCATCCTGCCCCCACACCTTCTACCCTACGGCGTCCTTCCTCCTTGGGGCGCCGTCTCAGTACCTGTAGTCAAAGGTGACGTGGCGTCGCCTACGACGAAGGAGTCGGTCGCTGTCCGATACAACCTTGAAGTCTACCCAGTCGTCGAGGAGATGCCACCAGGCTCCGACGTGGCGTACGTCTGTCCTGTGTGTGGTCAGATGTTCAGTCTCCACGACCGCCTCGCCAAGCACATGGCGTCGAGACACAAGAGCAGGACGCAGAACAGCGACTCATCTTCTAAAGCTTATCTCTGCGAGGTGTGTAAACGATCGTTCGCCCGCAGCGACATGTTGACCAGGCACATGCGGCTCCACACAGGCGTCAAACCGTACACTTGCCGTGTTTGCGGACAAGTGTTCTCCAGGTCGGATCATCTGTCGACGCATCAACGGACTCACACCGGGGAGAAGCCGTACAAGTGTCCACAGTGTCCCTACGCGGCGTGTCGCAGAGACATGATCACGAGGCACATGAGGACTCACGCCCGCTACGAGCCAGGGGTCACGCCGGACCTGGACCACAGAGAGGAGGACTCGTCACCTGTAGAGAGCTCCTCACCCATGGACACCGCCAGGGAACTGGATTGAACCGTTCGAGGCGTCGATGTCGAGTAAACCAAAGAGCGTACGCACTTTCCCTTCGTGTATATTCTTCAAGCGATCTTCCAGCTGTTGTGCCATGTCGTGGATCCTTTAATTTATTCGTCCCTCGCGATGTTCTTAGAAACATCAGCTGCAGGACGGTTGGTGGTTTATTGTAGAGAGAGATGTATCTATAAATCTAATATATTGAAACCTTAGCTTTTCTAGTAAAGTGGGCGCTGGGCGTTCTGCAAGTGCCAATGTTTGGCCCTCGAAGCCTTGATCTGTGCCTCGTAGTATCTATTTAAAATATCAATAGTTATTTCTTCACTCTGAATAAATAACTACACTATCCTTATGATTACCTTTATGCTATTTAGGCAGTATTTTAAATCAAAGTTTCAATGAAAATTGTAAAGGGAATTTCCACATCGTTTGACACGTACAAATATTTAAATTTGCATCAACAAATACTGTTAACAGATCGTAGATCTTGATTTGTGATATTTAAAACAAACTAAACAAAAACCAATACAACAAGGAGTGGGAATAGAGTATTATAAGTATAATTCTGTAAACAAAAAGCAATTATTCAAAGTAATGAGGTTGTCTGACACCGTGGTGTTCAGTGAAGTACTACAATTTCTCTAGCGCCCGCCTGTCCTTAGATCTTCCATGTCAATGTAGGCGTAAAGTAGGGATCAGACCATGTTGGTTGTTACATGCTCAACTTGTTGATGTTGCTATGTTGGTGTTATATTGCTTTTCATGTTACACAGAAGAAATATTTTATATACATTATAGAAACCCGGGACCCATACAGAACTGTTGTTAGAGGCCGATTGTTATCAATGTTTTGTACTCTATGTACTAGTGCACTGTTACGTTCTTTTTATACATTTTATAGTTGTTTTGCATAGATTTATCGTTCAGCAGTTGTGTTTCCGTTTGCTTTTTAAGTAGGTTAGCTTTGGCCTAAATTTCTGTTACACCGTTATTGAGACCAGGGTCTGTGTTAGTCAGTGCTACATGGAAGTAGACTAGATATGTTTTGTATGTTACGCATCGCCAGTATATTGTCACGCGTCTGTTATGTTTCAAATTATTGCTAAAATAACAAAAGTGTTAATCTTCATATCTTTAAAACGTGTCATTTTGTATATGTCCAGTAATACTCAGAATGGTTGTGAGCTACAGGTATATTTCAGATATACCGTTTTCATAGTCAATGTATAGTTGGATATACCGTTCTCACGTAACACTTGTAAAGTAATCAAACATGACAAAACTAATAACTCATGGCCTACTCGATTCGTCGTTAATGTAATGTAAGACCATTAACACATAACTTATGTATAGTTTAACTCGATAGTCCTGGTTTACGGAAAAACGGACGAAAGTCTTTAAACATTGTGATATTAGTAGAAAGTGCAGCTGTTATTACATATCAGCTTTACCATAAGCTCGACTAGAATGAGCGAATGATAAATTTAAATTTTTTTATAAATCTGAATAGATAATTTTTCTCTGAAATTAACAACGTGCATATTTTTTCATTTACTGAAAATCAGTCAATATATCCATTTTGAGTTTTTAATCTGTACGCGCTCAAATATCTGTGACTTTCCTGATTAGACCTTTGACGGAGTTGCTTTGGTTGTTTTGTCGTGTCAATTACGGGTTAAATGTTTGCTTCTCCAATCAAATCTCAAATCCTGGACAAGGTTCCCCGGCCATTGGCGACAGTGATGTTTCTTTTCGTTTCCATTTTCCACGCTTTTGCTGACTTCTGTTTTCGTTGGGCATTATCCCTTCAGCCGATTCGATGTGCCACAAGGTAGTTTAGGGGTAAGTTATTTTGATAATTCTCTTTGTATTTATATGATTCGTGTAAATGTTGACGCCATTTTGTACTATATAAATTATTTTGTAATATTGTAACGTCATTATGAATGGAGCTAGTTGTATTCCTTTAACTGTTTGCCTCGTTTATTCCATCCCATCGAGATCTGTTTAGTTTTGAATATATTTTATTAGTTAATTGTGAGAATATTAAGTTGATGGCATTTATTGTTGTTGAAGTAAACGAGGCAAAGAGTGTATGTATCGTTATTTGTTAATTTATTGTGATGTTAAGACTAAGTCGGTAATCTGTTACTATTGTTCAGACCAGTGCAAGGAGATTTCAAACATTTCAGATTCACTTATCTCAAATAGACAAATCTAATGCTATTTTCCTAAGCCATTCCAATTTTTATTTGACTATAACAAGAAATCTCATATAATATGTTTACAATAGATTGTTTATAATTCATTTTCTTAAATCTTCTGCAGTATTTGTAATCCCCTTGGACAGCACTGACTCATTGTAAGCTTTCTTTTTCATATTTATTGATCATTAATACATTAAGTTATTTTCTCATGTCAAATGCTCAATATTCATCTCATTAAATAATCCTAACTGCAGATCTTTACAGTATCGGAAAATATTTTGAATAAACAATATTTGTCCAATTTACGTGTTGTTGTTTCACCTCAAACCCCTATTGGAGAGTGGAGTTGAAAATTGTTTAGCTATTTATAGTTAAAAGTTGTTCTGAAGTTTTTATTATGCTACTGTTGTTTATTAACAATGATTTTATTTTTTAAAGAATTTTTTAATTCATTTGCAATTACATGGTGAACAATAAAGGTAAATAAGTGAGACTAATTCAACTTCAGAAAAAAATCTGTCATGAAAAACTTTGGACTCCTCAAATAAACAGATAGTGTTGATAAGGGGCCATACTATATACTTACAATGGTAGATGAATCAATTGCTTAAGAATTGCCTTGAATACGATTTACATAGAATTTTGAACAAACGAATAGTGATCCAAATTAACTGTTCTTGAAGTAATTTACTTCTCATATTGCAAATGGAAATGTCTATCACACCATGTCTTTAAACAATTTAAAACAATTTTTGTTCTTATAACCTAAAAACTCTTCTAGTAAAAGACTAGGGTTAAGAATTCAAAAATACTGTACAGTAGAGCTGTACGTCTACTCATATAGGACATATAGAACATTTATAAATTTTAAATATTTAATCCTACATAAAAAATATCACAAAAAAGCGAATGAGGACAAACTACTCTAAATCATACATTCTACCTCCACCCAGGGAATAACATAGCAAGTGGGAAAATCATCTCAGATGAATCATCCTTATTCATAAGAAATCAAGAAAAATTACACACGGTGTTGAACATCTCGCACCGCGGGACGTCGGAGAGAGCGTGGGAGAGAAAGAAAGAGAGGAAGAGGAGTGAACAGGTAACTGGCAATAAATGGGAGCTATTCATATTGGGCGAGAGGAGAGCGGGGGACAAGGTAATAAAACTGGGGGCAAAGGTAAGGTCAGTGAAACAGGTGACAGCAACAATCCACCTACACTGTGTACAGTGCTGAGGTCACTTTCCAATCGTACACGCTGTAGCAATGATAGGGATAATACAAGGGGTTAGTGATAGAACGGTAAGTGGGCCAGGTTTTGAAAGGAATTATTCTGATTGTTCCGATAGGTTTGGTACGTATTATACCGACCACGTCGATAGATCGACTTCCAAATAACGTTTTTAGTGAGTTTGAATAACAGAATCCGCCTAACATAACCTAACCTAAGGTTTATTTTACCAATTTAAGTGTGGTCGGTATAATAAGTAAGTACCGGTTATTTTACAATAAGTGCAGTTTAGGTTGAGAAGTAGTAATTATATAGAACTGTCGTAGAGGTTCTGTTTGTCATAGATCGAAAAAACATTTTTGTGTACATATGTATAAATTGTGATAGGGCTCCGGAAAGTCTATCGTGAAGCAGATATTTCTTTTCACGTTTAAAGTGTAGCTGTAACAAGACAAAACGTTGTTGAATTGAACTTTTTAAAAGGCTGCGGCTTCTGCTATCAAATACACTATACTGTATTGTACACACGTTTCTCCAATAGTGTCCAAGTACGAGTTATGGTGAACTATTGCAAATATTATATCACATAAACTATCAAAGTATCTGAAAAGAAAGGAAGGAGAAAGGGTTATCCTTGAGAGTTTCTTTCAACTGTATTACTTTAAACACATTGATGAAATGCTTTCTACAGTATCGTGAGTTATTGATAAAACTTCCTGGTAGAGAATTGCATGATAGTTGTTTTCTTACTTCTTTTACTGCACTGTAACTATTCAATGGAATCTTCTATCTGGAGAACAAATATTAACTTTTTATTTTTATTTACACATCATAATTTTGTAATGTGACTGTCATTTAAGACAATATTTAATTTTTAATAGTGGTGTAACCATAACATAAATACAACAAAGTTATTTGACTAAGTGTATGTAATAGCTATTATATTTTAAACATAGACTGTGTTATAATCGAGATTTTGATGAATTAAAGTAACAAAGAACATAAGTGAATTATAAGGCACAACAAATTCTCTAAACGAATACAGCAAAAGTTATTGTTTTTAATTCTTCTTATGAGTAGGGAGGAGATCTAGTGAATTGTGTTTTAAAATCATATATAATTAATTTAGCTGGTACAGTATTTTACTCAACTAATTGAATTCGATAGTTGTGTATGGCACGAAATACATTTCCCAACCAATACCTACAGCCGCATTATCAGAAAAATATACTTTTTTGTTAAACGAATAACATCTTAGACTAATCAACACAAGCTATTAAGTTACTAATCGCAAGTTACTAAGGGAGTATGTTTTATCTACGATAATATCCAGCCAATGGCGATTTAGGAAAAAATCTAAGCCAAACAGCCTATTTAATAATTTATTGGATTCAAAATATTAACAATTATAATGTATTTAGGTATCCAGTACATTATTATACAGTAGTGTATCTTGAGTCGTAAGTGACTGAAATCTTACAAGATACCTAATAGGACGTTGATGAACGTTTAAAGATCAGCTTTCTTAATGCTTTCATGTTTGCTTCTTCTAAAGGTGTCATTGCGAATGTTTATCCAATATAGAGCAAACAAAAATATGGTACTTTCCTGTTAACGGAACACTCATTATTATCGATGATTTTTTCGATATATCGATACCTATTTTTGTTTTCCGATCCATTACAAATTGACAACTGATCTTGTTTAGGCTAACATAGTCATATACATAGTTATATGGATTAAGAAATGAAACTGTTCTAAGCTAACCTAACATAACCAACCAAACTTGCTGTACCATTTAAAAATTCCGTTTGATAACAGAAAAGGCAAGTTAAACACGGAATTTTTTAATGTTACAGCAAGTTTGGCTAGTTATGTTAGGTTATTTTTTTAGAACAGTTTCATTTCATTATTGTTTGTTGATACTGTTTGTTGCTGATTCATCGTAGTTGTCAGATGATATGTTTATTTAATTTGTTAATATCGATACATGGAGAAAAATCATCGATGATAAAGAATGATCCCTTTAACAGGAAAGTACCAAAAATATTTATACAAAATGTATTATATTCTCCGAATAGTTTGTCTGCTGACTCATCTACAATGATCAAATCCAAGTATAAATCCAAAGACATTCATGTATCCTTACTTTCCTCGTCACCTTTCGTCACCACCGGCTCGTGCCTAACGGACGACGCCTGTTCAATCTCCTCGTCTAGATCTGGTACAAGCGTGTTAAATACGTCCTGGAGGCACGCGGATCGCGGATGCAAGTTGGCTATTAGCGGACTCGTGTGGTCGCCGGTCGCAGTGCTCAGTGACCAGCTCCAGCCATTCCAGAATCCCCGGTAGCCGGAAATCGACCTCCTCCGCTGACTTAACGGCCGGTCTATCACCGTTTTACGGCAATCAGCTTCCTCTATAAAATCTAACAGCAGGCTACATTGACTTTTATATCTTGCGATGCACAAACGGTCAGCCGGAATGCGCTGGAAGAAATGAGCAGAATAAAGGATCTTGGTTGGATGGGTGGTGTTATTGAGCTTGGAGCTAATTAGTACTTCTTACAAGGCTAATTCTTTAAAAGGCAACTAAGCACTGGAATATTTAACTTTCCAACCGTTATTAAGGTATCTCGCTTTACGTTTTTGTACCGTAATATTAATACGATGATCATTAAGGAGTTGTATCAGAGTTCTCTGAGTGTTCCTCAGGGAATAAAAGTTTTTTCCTACATGTGGCCTTACTTTATACGTAAGGTCACATAGAGGAAAGGATCTTTCATCAAAAAGAGTAAATATTATATCATTAATGACTGCGAGAGTGAATTATCCAGTAGCCTACGTCAAAGGAAATTGTGATTTGAATTACACTTAACTAACACAAATCAAGCAATGTCCTAAGAGAATCTTCCCAAGCGGAATCGGATTTAATTAGTTTGGCAACATTAACAATTTATGTTTGCTATTTATACAGTTGAATGCACGTTCCCTGAAGTTAACAAAGGTCGCAGTTTGAATCAAACGTGTTACTTGAATGAAGAAACAAGATTTTGTTTTACAATTTTTGAATTTGGAATGTGATAAACAATTTCTTCTTCAAAATCTGTTTGTGTTTCTTTCTAAAGAACAAGTTATTAAAAAGAGACTAAACCATCTTAAAATCCTTTGAAGGTTTAATCAACCCCTGAATCAGAAGGATAAATAACATCCAACAAATCGCAAGTAAAATGCAAGCACGAATTGCAAGATGACATTTCCATTGTTAGATTAAGGGACAAGACTCGACAATCTATCTATATATATAATACGCTAAGCCGATTTTTGTAAACAGAACTCCTCCCTCATTTTTGGACCGATTTTGATGATTAAAGTGTCAAACTAATGGCCCTAATCTGTAGTTTTGCAAAGTGTTTTTAGATCTTTGATATCTTTATTTGTTTGGGCAGGATCTTCCATCAAAGTTGGGTTTTCTCCCATAAGATTAACATGGGGGAATCTAAATATTTAATTGGAAACTTTGTCTCCACTAATTTGAGAGAACGGCTGGGCGTAGAAACTTGGTAGAGGGGTCCAAAGAAAGGTCTTGGTCTGTAGATGAGTTATCAAAAGAAAAACTAAGTTAATTCGCTTAGGGCTCTGTCCCAGAAGCCTTTAAAGACCCATCCACAGATTTGTTTACATTTTGGCCATGTGGATAATTTTTAATGAAACAGCTGTTAATTTTAATATCTATCTATCTATATATTAATAGGCAAGCATGTTTCTTTAAAACCTTTTTTCTCAGCTCGTGTGCATCGTAGGGAAAATCTACGCATACCGTTAGAAAGCTATTTTCCTGTAGGTGTGCACAATCCCTTTATAAATTAAAATAGGCTCAAAGATAAGCACAAAAAATTAGTTTAAAAATTTGAAAAAATTAACATGGATTTTATGGGTTGCCATGCTGGTTACGAAATAACAACGAAATGTAAACAGAAAATCAAAACAAATGGAAGAAACTCAAATCACATGTTTTATTTACAGTGTGGGGAGAAAATAGAGAAGTCTGTACATTACA